ATAGGGTCAGGCTGGAAAAAAGCTAGCGGCGGTCAAACAAAAACTTGCCACCAGTCAATGAAATCCACAACAGTTGGTCTAAGCCAGTCACGTAGGAAGGTGTAGACTTCCAGGCTGGGGTCCTCGGGACGGTAAAAATCTATGGTTGGAAACAATTGGCTCAAAACCGTTCTCAGTGGCTAGCGCAGATGCATCCACTACTTGTGACTTATGATTTCCAATGAAACTGTTTTGTTCTTCGTTATTACTCCTCCTTTGTCTCACACCTCTGCTCACTGTTTCTATTATGCTTTTCTTGTACTTTCTTCTCTTGCTTCGCGTGCTACACGGAATGTGGCGACTTGAACTTCCGCACATTTGTGCAAAGTTCTATGTCGAAAACAGACAGACAGACAGACAGACACATACGACTAAACTTCATGTACGCATTAGTATCGATGAGATTATTTTAGGCTTCATTAATGACCGTGAAAATTAGATTTCATCATGAATTGCTAACAGTCAAAGAGAGGTTGGAAACTATTGAAAGGTGAATTGCTCTTCTGTCCTACTTGAACATTATCGTGAAATGAGTACTGAACAAAAAAGTAATCAATGAAATTCCCACAAATCCAACTTTTGAAAGACAGCTGATTAGGTGTCTATTGCTTTTGAGAATAGATAATACTCCAAATAATGATGTTTTGGTTGATGGAGAATAGCAGTGGAATTCAAGATGGTTTGGAGGATTTCATCATGGGACTACTGGAGAGCTAGTTCGTCCACCTAGTTTTGGACACTTCAACAGCATGCACCCACCGTCAGGATTCAATCCTTGGGATTTTCTGGTTACAAGGCGAGCTCGTAGACCATTAAGCCACTGGGACTCTATAAATGACCAAAGATACTAAAAGACACCCTTGGTGGAACTCTTTTGGTTAGCAATGTCAAGCTTCTCCACAGCGGTGAACGAGTATTCACTCATTTCATGAAATATTCATGCATTATTACTATTGTTTTTCTTGAGTTCCACGTGGAAAATAAGGCCTAAACAGTACATCTCCACTTTTTCCTTCTCTCTCTGCAGTCCTATTTAGCTGGTTACAACGATTGTCCATAGTCTGTAGTCTCTTCCTCACACAATCTTCCCCATGTCAGCCTTGAATGACCAATTCATCATTTCCTATTCCGGTTCCACTCGAGAATCTGGAGCGTGATTTCATCCACAGGGGTCTCCTCAGCCTGTGTCCTTGTGTGTGCAATTGGTACTTGTTGTTGTTGTTGTTGTTGATTGGTTACCTTCATCACCTCTGTCTTCCCTACTTTCTCGTGACGTCCTGTCTTCGTTTCTACTTCTACCATTTTTTGGTTTTCCCTGTAAGTCTTCGAGTTTTTGGGGACAATAGAAATAAGTCGTCCATGGAGTCCAGTTCTTCTAGAGTCTTCTTATCAGTCAACATATTCATGTCTTCTCGCTCCCTCCTCCCGTCGTCTTACGCATAATCAAGTCCACCGAAATTAGGAATATCATCGGTGGTAGTGAGCATTCTTTTCTTACTCCTCTAATCACTTCAATGGTTAATAATTGTGATATGTATCCATATATATATATATATATATATATATATATATATATATATATATATATATATATATGTATGGTGATCTCTCTTTCTGTTTATTCGCTTAGTCTGTGACCATTTAACTCTGATGAACCTGTCTCCTTTATCAATGTATATTCCCCTTATATTATATATAATATGAGTGTTTGTTGAGTGTCCGTTGCTTGGTGACAGATATCCATATTATATGTGTGATTGTTGACATGTCTGCTATATTTTGCTATGTATATATGGATCGATACTCCATTATAATTAGCCATTCATGTTAAGACTGTCTATTGATTTGTTCACACACTTGTCTGGACATTCATATATATTTCGCTCTCACAATCTTGTGTGACTCTACTTTGGTGTGATACCACTTATTTGCATTCTCCTTGTGTTTGGAAAATAGAAGTATCATCGCAAACCTAGTGGTCTTCTGATTTCCGTCTTTCTTGCGTCAGGACTATTAAATTCTCGACCAGTACATAATAATAATTTGGCGACGAGTACATAACAATTTGGTTATATTAGACTGTAATACTTTGTTGCTATTGAGTCTTGAGTGACATGAACACTTACAATAAACACTTCGTAGGTGATCAATAAAAGTGTATCATAGTAACTATATGTAGGTTACTTCCAATGTAGATTTCATCACGAAAGGACATATAGGCTAGAGAATCCCTGAAAAGGAAAGGGTAGTGTCATTTCTTGGATTAAAACTCTTTAGTAGCTCACTCCCATAAGCCTGTTATAGGTCGAACTCAGGACTTTCTTGACACGATTCTGGCTTATAACTAGGTTGTAATTCAATGACACGAGAATTTTAAGTCCTCTTCATCCATAGGATAAAGTATTATCTTCGAATAGTGATACAGATGAGAATCCACTTTACCCGGAGAAAGTGGTTACCTCTTCTAATTAGAACTTCAAAACATCCACCAAGTAGCCATTAATCAGCTGAAAATCGATATTTACATATTTGGATTTTGTGGGTATTATGATTAATTGCAACACTCATTAATAATCCCCATTCAGGCATTAATGAAAAGAAAACACGTGTAGTTCAGTGGAGAGTCTATTTTCGGTGACGAATTCACTTTATTAGATGTACTATCGCAGATATTATACGGGTTATTTTGTATGCATGTGGACACGAAGTTTGTCAAGGAAAAATACAATTGGTTATGGTGACTTAAACTAAACAGGCGAAAATGAGTAAGTTTTCAGCGGAGTTACGCAATACAAAATCGGTCAAGAAGATTGGGTGTTAATGAAAATAGGGTAGAAACAAAGGTGGGCAAACAAAATTAAGGCATCAAAAACCAACAAACTTGTTACCATGTCTGTAGAAGTAGTTTAGTAGTCCTTTTTTGTATGCACAGCTTCAATTTTTCTGTGTGAATAGCCAGAGCTTCTGCAATACAAAGAACACGAAACTGTATTGGTTTTGGTACGCTATTCTTGATTCTGTAGATTACTTTGAAACAGGAGGCGTTTGTGCAGATGGAATGATCAGTGTTAACCAGGTCTTCAACTACCGCACTCCTTATAGCACCACTATTGCCTTTTCGCAGCCATGCTGGATAGTGTTCTTGGATCTTATTGGATAGGATGCGCGTCGAACGATCGATGTACCTGGCTCCACAGCAGCAAGTGAACTGATATATGCACATGGAAGTGGTCAAATGCGAGATCTTGTCCCCAAGGCTTCTGCAGATCAGTGGTTATTTTTTTTGTTTGATTTTTGATTTACAGCTTGATTCCACACTGTATTTTTGGTACAAGTATGGAATTTTCAGCATGGATATCGGTAGCCCAAATTTGCAGGCCGACCATAGATATCAGGTGTGCGCCGGCGTGGGCTCGAACCCCAGACCATGTGCATGGTCGGCGAGAGTCCTAACCACTGTGCCACCGACGCACATATGGTTGACTGGAGAACACTATTCTTAGCGTTGCTGCAAAGAATGTTCCTCTCAGAGATGATGCGATCCTTCTCTGAAGATTACCGCTTGTTAAATCTCCCTTAAAATCTAAGTTCATGTAGAGTTTCTTTCTCGGCGCAAGTGAAGTTTCATTTCTCCAAATTCTTGGTTTTACATTTTTAATCAATTGATCTTCGTGAGTATCCATTTTGGATGAAGATTTTTCTCAAAAGATCTAATTCTGTTTCTAGAACATCGGGATTACAGATGCGTTGGATGCGGATGGCAAGGGATTTAATTAAATTCCGCTTTTGTTGAATGGGTACCCAGCTATAGGAGCTTGTTAGCTGACCATTGTTGATTTTTTGATGACTTAATTTCGTATGTTTGCCTGTTTCTTTAATCGCTTATAATTCTTATATTCATTCACGACTCTTACACAATTTCGTGTCCCATACTTTGTTTCTATATGCATCCTGAGTAAAACTCACCCATCAGACTATTCATATTGTTACATCACTTCTTTTAACAACTGGTTGTGACAACTCATCACCTTCGTTACTACCTTAGTTTCACTAACACCCAATTTTCTTGATCGTTTTTGTATTAAGTTATTCCACCCAAAACTCACTAATTCTCGCCTGTTTAGTTAAAATGACCATAACTAATTGCATTTTTGTTTGACAAACTTAATATACACATGTATATAAAATCACCTATATGTATATATATATTTGCGACTGGACAGCTGTGAAAATGAATTTGTCGCCGAAAAGAATCTCTTCGCTGAACTACACGTGCTTTCTTTTCATTAATTTCAATATAGCTTTCGTCATGAACCGATACCTCACTCAGTGAATGAATAAAGTTTCCTGGTTGAGCACGCACTGCAGTAGGTGTGTTTGACAAGAATTTTAGGTAGCAATATATAACTAATAGGATGGCTACTATTCCACCAATTATAATAAGCTATTTAATTGAATTTAGATTTTCCCATCCAGGTGACGGGTCCCAAATAGGACGAAATGCACATTATCCTGGATTCCACTGCTAGTCACCATGCACCAATTAAATTCTAATTACATGCTCGGACACTGTCGAGGCATCTGCACAAGAAGCCGACAGACATGTCAACTTGAGACTGAGCACTTCGATTCAATGGATCAATCGATGGGAAAATCTAAAAATCAATTAAAAAATTAATATAACCCGTTGCACAGGAGACAGTGGCCATCGTGCCTCAAGTGGTCTAGTGGATAACGCTTTAGTGTGGGAAACTATATGCACTGGGTTAGAACCTCAAGGGGAAATCCTCACTTGCTGGGGAATGCCGGTACATCAAATAGCTGACGAGTCTCAAATAGAACGAAATGCCTACCCTGGATTCCACTACTGGTCACCATCTACCAGTTCAACTCCTTAGCAAGCTGTATTTAGAAATATCATTTTTAGCACAGAATCTAATTAAATATTTTGTTTTCCACAGGTCGTAATAAAGAGAAGCGACAAAATGAATTACAATATGGAGGTGATTTGAGTGTAAAGCAATCTGACATCACATTAGATAATAAAGACACCAGTGAAGGAATTACTCAAGAGGAAACAAATCATCATAATCAGTCAATATACACTGATAAAGAAATTTTTGAAAATAAAATAAACATTATCGAAGAAAATCTAAACTTGATAATTTATACATCAAAGTACAATGTACAAAAATGTTTTAAATCTATAGGATTTAACTTAAATGTGCCAGAAATCCATATATTTCAAGTACCAAACAATTCTCTTCAATCTATGAATTCAATATCAACAGATTTAACTATACAAAATGCTGAACAGTCGGTTGAAGAACTAACATCACGACCCAATAAAATGAATTCATCGTCTTGTCTGCAAACTGCAACTGATAAATTTCAATTAAATAGTCTAGAAAATATTCAAATGTCTGATCTATACGACAAGTATTCATATTCAGATGAACAATTTCAAAACTGTACCAACCAAATGAAATTTGATAAAGGTGTTCAATGTCACTTATGCTGTAAACAGTCCATACAGCTACAGCAATCCTCCAAAACAAATCAACAGTCTGAAGAAGAAGAAGGGAGAAGACAAGTTAAATAACTCTGAAAAACTGTCGGGTAATGAAAACTCGTATGGAGTAGAGGTTAACGGAGACAAAATAAAGAAGCCATCGCATAAAATTCCAATTCTATCGGTTAACAGCATTGAAATTATAGATTCTACATATTATGATTCGCCTACATACTCAGAAACAACCCTATACGACGAAAATGCTTTTTCTTTAAATGATTCACAATGTGGTCAATCTTTTGATTTGATACAAAAAGAAATGTCATACAATGCAGTAGTCAAGCAGGGGGATACAATCGAGCAGAGTGAGAAAACAATGACTACAAATCATGTAACAGAGACATGTGGTAGAACAAATCAAATCAGACTGATAGATACTGATGTACAATTTGAATATGAAAATGAAGATACAACATCTATTACTACACAGGATGTAACTAGTCAATCAGAAGGACCAAATAACATTGACATTACAAAGGAAGGAAATATTTGTACACCAACTGTTCAAGAGAAACTATTAAAATGTTCAATAATCAATGAGATTGAATCGACTCAATCATTGAACATTGATAAGGAATCTACAAAATCATTTAAATCTTATTTATCAGATCACAGTTCCACACAGTGTATTAGTCAATATGAAAAGCAGATAAAAGATGACAATGAGATTGAAGAGAAAGAATTTGAAGATACACATTATCCCGATAAATCCATTACAACAGACAGTGAATATTTAATACAGTCAAATGATCAAGAAACCATTCAGTCCACTCGACCAACATATGTTCGAGTAGTAGATAGATTAGGATATTGTTTGAACGGAAGACTTGAAGCTTTTAACACAAATGACAATGACTATATACAGATATTAGCACCAATCAATTATTTACCTAAAGATTTAACAAGAATCAAACTGTACAATCTACTTCAGCAGGGTGAAGTTGAGGAAAAACTCGGAAAAATTTGTCAATCAGACATCAGTGTACCGCATGAGAATTTATTAGACAAGTTAATAAATCAGACATATGTAGATAATAAAAATCAAGTGATTTCAACTGCCAGATCAGAAATTGGTGATCACATCCAGTTGTATCCAAAGAGTGAAGTAAATTCTCAATAGTAATGCCTTATTTCAAGCTGAGCTTCAACTTTACAATCAAAGTCTATTCCTCAAATGAGTAGTTGGCATGTTGAACAATTTGTAACTTAATGTGCGAAAATTGAAGTGAAGAAATGCCTTCATTTAGTTTAAATATTAACGACTGGCAGTTTAATGAATGTTTAAATTACCGTGCAACACGGTTTATCATTTCGGATTTTATTTGTGGACACTGTCTTCGGAAATAATTTTATTTTCGGTCTTTTTTACGCTATGTTTATTTATTTAATACTTTGATTTATCTTAGTTGTGTAATAGTTTTCCCATTATGTTTATTTGCTTTTAAAAGTACTGATTCTGTTTGAAACTTTGATTCAAATAATACACAAATATTCTGACTTTTTAGAGGCGTTTGGTATTCCTGTAGCATGGTTTTTATAGCGCCATATACTACTGACCAGTGGATATGAGTAGGTGGAGACCATTCACTTCAACCTGTTGTGCTTGCTGACTCATCAGATCGAAGCTATCTAAGCACAAGAATGCCGCCCCTTTTGTTTAACATTGGGCTTATCAGTAGTGTGCGTCGTTCGTCTCAACTTAGAGAACTGCATCAGTTCAAACCGCCTGGATGAAATATTAAGGCATACAGTTTGGCTAACAACAACTACTGGTCGATGTGAGTACTGTCTATTGGCCACCATCAGTCGGCCTATGTTTTGATCAAGAACGTATGTTTGTCTAAACAATTGACATTTATGGTATCACAGTGACCACATATTATTATCTGAATAATTTGTTTCCAAGGATAACTGTGATGCATTTTCACCCTGAACAATGCAACTTGCAAATTGCAGGCTTTGTTCTATGACACAGGAGGCTTTTGTTAAAACCGAGTGGTTCCGCATTTATTGATTAGTTCATACGTATCTTTCAGACTTACAAATAACATGTCATTAGTCTGAGCCATGCGAATGAAAATCACAAGTCTTAAATTAGTGGATAATATTTATAGCTCATTATGGATGTTCACGATGTTAAAATGTCCCCTGAGCTGTTTGATTTAATCACCACGCTCTCATTCATCTTCTGGAAGAAACCCCGGGCCGTAAGTTCAATGTAAATTGAGCTTTGGAAATTCCCAATTTATGAAGGATTTGTGTCTCCTGCCAACCTTGATTCACCCTGCTGTGTTTATGGATTTTCTTATGATTTTACTCACCTGTATTGGCATCGTTTTCCCCGTTGATATGAAGTTAGACCTTACGGACGCGTGACCTATTCTGTACTGATTGACAATTTAAAGTCACAAATTCATTATTTATAGGTGATGTCAGTACCGCTCCTTAAGGAATTCTCCGGCAGTTTTTGTCTCTCCTGCAGGATTCTTTCACTGTTCCAGCTGAACTGTTTTCCATAGAAGTCCGTGTGAACCGACATGAATCCTTGCTTTAGTTCATGGCTGGGGAGATTCAGAAGACCTAACCTTCCTTGAACATAGCGTTTTCCAGCCAAAGGTTATATGTCAGATCAATAAGGAAAGTAATATTAACACGGGTAGATGCAGTCGTGGGGGAATCTACAGGAACTACCGGGCACAATGAGTATAGACAGAAAAAACGAATATTTCATCCATGGGTGACCCACGAAGCTACATTCACATTGAGACTACAGTTGAGGGCTTTTTCATACAGATTAGGAAAACCTCGACATTACATCGGCCAGCTAGGAGAATATGACGGCATAAAAGACTGTAGATATTTTGTATGATGTCGTAATGATAGATAATACCCTAAAACCGTTGGCCTAAAGCATTCATCACAACGCTGGATGCCAACCGTCAACATCTTCGGTCAACCGGTTTAGCTGACGGCTCGAGGAAAACACCCACGCCATTTGACACGCTGCCGTGTTTTGTTCGATTGTGTGTGCATGATCCGTAGTTAGTTAAGCAATCGTCTATGCACTGCCATTTTGCCCAAGTAATATGCCTCGCATTTCGCACGATCGACTTGGTGTTTTGTTTTCTCTTTGGTCTTCGCGGAACATACACTAAAGTAGTCGTGAGTATAAGATCTTGCGTCATCACACTTCTTACTATCTGTGAGTGTCAATACCCTCAGGCCATAAAGTATCATTATTTTAGTTCTAGTTTCCTCTCTGTGCACTACTGAGAAGTGTGTCAACATGAAACAAATTTCCTTGTGCAGATTTAGCTCATTTGTTAGGCTTATCAGTACAAAGAAACATGGGTAGTGACACAAAAAAGCCGATATCCTACTGAGTGAACTAAGCGGCCTTGAAGGCGTAAGATGTTTCATAATAAATCATATGGAGTGGATCTGTATGCGTTCATATCCCCTTTGTATGCATGAGTATGAAGTACCGAAGAGTGCCAAACTAGGATGCAAAAGTAACCCAGCGCTCCCTATTTTCCAGCAGTTCTTCAACTGATTTCAGCTCACAAGGAGATATACCTTGGAACAATTCATCGTAACACAAACACAACATCTGAAGACGTTCCAATTGTTTCGTTCACTTTCCTAACCCTTAAGTATTAGACAGAAATCGACCAATAAATTGTTCTTTGAGGGAATATTCATCTGACTGAAAAGTCATTTGCATCAGCCTTAAAAATACTGGCCTGCACCAACCAGGATCACTTATGAGTGGACAAAACTCTACTACCATCAGATAAACCGTAGAATGCAAAACACTTCTGATACTTTGGCATGTCTATTCATCCACTATTAATACTTAACAGAAATAACTCTACTGGATTCGAAATTCTTACATCTGTGGAGTCCTCAAAAATAAACTTATCCAATTTTTACTACTATGTAAGAAATGAACGAAAGAGGCTACAGTCAGTTTCTAGGTCATGATGAGTTCCTGCGTCGGCTAGTTATATGTTTCCGTGATTTCGTTTTCCATTGAATTTTAAAGGTTTTTCTGGATGTTTTGCTCATTTTGCAGTGTGTAGGTCAGTTTTTGTCACAGGGTGCTACTATTTAGCTTATTTTTAGCCTGAAGTTCACAGTTATTATGTTGGTAGTCAAAGATTATTGTAAACCTGCAATCATTGAGCTAATTAACATATACTATGCTAATAATAGTAACAGTAGACTCCCTCACTGTTTTGCCATTGTTTGACAGTGAACCTGTGCGCTGATTTTTCAGCATGCGTGGCACTAAATCGAACCTACTGGGTTTGCTTATTAACGTTGTTCCAGTCCTCACAGGATATATTAAGGATGAACTAGCGTTACTCCAGAGTGGAAAGTTTTGATTCAGCACGCAGCTGTCTTTTTAAGCACGACCTGTGTCATTTCAGAACATGGTGGGTAAATATGATCTTCAGTTACCATAAAAAGGCATTATCGAGGAATAGGTTAGAATAAATTTAGAATTGTTTTAAGCTTGGTGGTGCTGTGGTCTAAGTGATAAATCGTATTAATCACCGTTATTCAGGATATGCTATGAACCGGAAATCCTCAGCTGAAAAACGTATGAATAAGACACAGATTGGTGTAATTTATAACTGACTCCAAATTGCTTTCATCACGAAATAATCAACCAAAGTATGCTTTAAACTGTCGCTCTCAGCCGTTTGAAGGGAAATTTACTTGATTTATGCTGACCTAGTATGCACAAATCCCAAAGGTCATTGAATTGACAACTTAAAAAAGTAGATTAGTTAATACACACATTTATCTATATGTACTAATTAAGGATACATTAAATTTTTAGAAATTGTAGTTAAATTTTATTCGCCTAGTAATCAAAAATGCATACATCCTATTTTGGGCTTAAAATAAATGCATCGAAATTATTGTTGATTTATATTCAGTTACTAGACATTCTCATACATCTTAATGTACTTTAAACACCACCAATGCATCCAAATAGCGTGTGACTATCACACTACACTCATACCAAAAAAATTAACACGCCATTATATAATGGTAAGGTAAGCCCTAAATCATACTGACTGTAAATTTCCGTGTCAAAATAAAAAGATTACCGCTTTAACTTATATTTTAGGCCAATAGGAAGCCAGCTAATCAACAGCCAATCAAAATCTGCCTATATCTATTTTCGGCAACGTCAACATTGGAGAATTAGTACTGGAGCAGCCTTCCCGCAGCACCTCTGGAGTCTATTACGTTTATTGTGGCTTTTGTATCTTTGTAAACCCAAGAAACGAAACTTTAATATATTCTTTCCGTAACTAAACTGATTTGGTATTTTATTTTCTATTTGAATTTGGGATACTACGCTAACAGAGTAAAAGGTCCACCACACATCTATCTTCCGGGTGTTATAATCTGATTTTCTAGTACATAGTAGCTGCTAATTACAATTAAGAACATTAGTACATTTTGGCGTTATTACAACGGTGTAGAGGGAAATTATTCCTTAAAGTTGTGAATCGATATCATTCAGCAGTGGGCGTTGAAATTCCCTACGCAAATCAACTGGTTGGGCAGAAGGTACGCGACCTCGTACACCACCATGTTGCACTCGATTAACCACCATGGATTTCTTACCTCGAAGTATATTTTGCATTTCGGACGACCTCTTTGTTGTTTTGGCTTTTCCTCCAGAGAATTCTGCTGTCATACAAGACAAGTTCATCGAGTGTCTGAGATTATATGCTTACTTTATCATCTAAGGTTATCTTGAGCAAATGCCGAGAGTGTAATTAACTGATCCCGCAAATTCGCCTACTTTCTCTACACTGCATATAATTCCCCTTCTACAGGCAGTCCATGAAGAAACGAAGACAAACTAATCGGCCACCTAAATAGTAGTGCCGTATTCCCTAGTGACGAGATGCAGCAACAGTATATATACTCAGACTGATAGAAAGCAGACGAAATTGAAAACAACGTTTCAAGTCAGTGGTTAGGGGAAGTAAAAGAGTTCATATCTCATACCTGCATCTAGCTTGTGTTGTGATCAGGAGATAACCCCGAGTTTCAACCTTCAGAAAATCAGCCGCCGAACAGAACAGTTCACTATTTGCTGAAAAAGCCAACCACGAATGTCGCCAAAACTGGATAAATACGGTGTGATTTGTCGCTAAAAAAGATTCCGTTAACAAGTCACATGCGTTCTCTCGTTACATTAGCTCAGGACAAAAATGTCAATGTAGTTGAAAATTGAACGATCAATTCATGGTTGTTTGCTCAAAACCAACTTCCCCAATTTTCGCACAGGCATCAATACACCAGTCATCGTCTCATCGGTCGCTGTTCAGAAATAAGTCAGACCAAAACTGTCAGAAGTAATATTGTGATTTATTATTGTAATATTTGTTCATAGACCTTAGTTAAAACTTAATTTA